TCCTTGGCCAGATTCTCTTGACCAAAAATTTTCGAGTTTAGCTGATATTGGAGCTCCTCGATCTTCTTGACCTACATCAAGTTTTTCTCTTTTGCAGCCCAAAGCTGGGCCTCGGCTGACGCCAGTTGTGTTTGGACAACTTTCTTTTCTGAGACTAAGAGATCCATATTTTTCTTGAACTCCTCGGCCTCAGTTTGTATCATGTCTACCTACCCCTGGAGCAACCCGATTTGTTCAAGAATTTGTCGAACTTGCATAATCAGATCGTTAGCCACTGAATCCAGTTCGTTGTTACTATCTTCAAGTACTCGGTTTACCTGCTTGGCCCACTCGACATGCTCCTTCCGAGCCGCTTCTAACTCGGCCTGAAGTTTCTCACTTTGAAGCTTATAAGAGTCCCTCTAGTTAGTAATCTCCCAAACCTCGGCCTCGTGTTGGTTTAACTCCTCCCGGAATCGGAGGAAAGTCTCATGGTGCAGTACCGAGGCCTGCAAGCATAAAGAAAGGTGTTAGGATTATTTACAACTTTAAAATTTAAAATACATAATGAGGGGATGCTCGAATTTACCCTATTCAAAGCCTTTTGAGCTTCATTGAATAAGCAGGGGGCTTCCACCAAGTCCATCACAGCCCGGTCCTTTTCGGTCACCAAGCACCAAAGGTTGCCAGCAACCCCCACGGGGGAAGAGAAAACCTGGGCATACTCCGGGATAGAGAAAACTATTGATCGCCTTTGGTTTGGATTATCGCTTGGGGCCGGGAACCGATCCACCAACTTTGGGCTCAAAGAAGACCCACTAGCCTCCGATGATGATACCTTCTTCGGCACCAGCAAGTCACCGAGCCTAATAACGTCCTCTGAGGCAATGGACTCTAACCCATCCATGAAGTTGTGGATATTTGTTGCCCCCTGAGGCCCCTCGTAAGAATGACCTTCAAGCATATCGGCCTCGTGGATCATGGTATCTCAGAATTGAGCATACCCGGTAAGGTCAATCGCCCTAAGGACATCTTTCGAGGCACCTTCCTCTGCTCGAGATGTGTCGGCCCCGGCCTCCCTCTCGACTGCCCTGGCTTGGGGAAAAGTACTCGGAGATCTCGGCCAATGCCTTCTTAGCAGCCTCCCCGGCATGAGGCAAAGTAGTTCGCACCTGAGCCACTAGCTCAGAATTGTCTTCTTCTTCTTCTTCTTCGGACTCATCCCTCGGTTGGCAAATTGAGTCCGATGAGAGGACGCCGATACTTTCCTTAAGTTTACATAACAGCCTCCTCATTTGGTTTTCTCTTTTCTGAGTCCAGAGATCTCGGGGCCCTATTCCTTTTCTTTTCATCACCCTGCCTCGGAGCAGGGGACTCGAGAGGCACATCCTCATCACCAGATGGAGGCCACCCTGTACATCCCAAGGTGATGTATAATGAATATGAGACCTATTAATCATGATTTAAATGAGTTTAAAGTCATAATATGACTATATATGATGTTTGGATAGAAAATATAAAGTTTGGAAAAAGTCGGATTTAAGTTGCGGAAAAACCGACAAAGGATTTTCCTTGTAATGGAGCTTTTTAAGCAATACATTTCGTGTGCTATATGAGGTATTTTTAGGGCATATTATATATCAAATTGAAGGTATTGGAATTTAGTTTCCAACTCTCTTAACCGTTTGTTCATACAACATTCGGATAAAACGATATAAGCGTCGGAAGATGGGCCAATGAGAGGGTGCCAAGCTAACACCTCTTTGACTTTTCCAAACTTGATATATATAGGTATTTGGCCGTGTTTATCTTCATTTTATCATCGAACACGACCTGAGAACATCCATAAACATACCATTAAGCTCTATTCTAGGGTTTCAAAGAAAATTAACATCCCGGGTACAAAATCAAGAAGCGATAACACTAGAACGATCCCTACGACGTAAGTATCGCTATATCGCCTCTCTTTTTCTTTGTAGTTTGAGTTTTGGAAGGTACTTCATAGTTAATAAAACGTCTACTTTAGGTATTTAAGCTATTAAATATCAAGGAAGGTTGATAAATTTATTTCCTAATATTTAGAATTCACGGAACGGTGATCGGAAGCCGTGAGTTCGATTTATTTCACTTTTAGTGGACTGTTTTGCAGTCCACTCGCGTTGGCCTATTGTGCTGATGATTTATAGAGTTTAGAAGGATGAAGGGCATAGAGAAATGCCACATGTGGTAGGTTAGCAGGTTGGTCGCTCGTCGTTGCAATTTCAGGCTAATTGATAACTTATTGATTGGGTATGTTATGGTATATTTGGGGGGTTTGTTGTATTGAAGGTACCGAATTATAATTGGGTTGTTTTTGAGTTGATGATGGTATTATGTTTTTATCTCGCCTATAGTAGGCTTGAGAGAGCAGTGAAATCAGGGGAAATGTTTCCCGTTTTATTTTAGAATCGAGTTATCATTTGAGATACGTGATATACCACCGCCATCTAAGTTGTACATGTATTTCTTTGTTATAGAGTTGGCGCGCTAGTTGGCATAAGCTCATTGTTAAGTTTCTTTGACAACTTGAGGTATGTTAAGGCTATCCATTCTTTCCGTTTGGCATGATCCATATGATACAAACGAAATGTGCAAACGCTGAACTTTCATAAATGACTCTATTCATAGAAGTACAAGGGGTTCCTATGTTCTGAATTCCTTATATGTCCTACTTTCATATTGTCTGTTCATGGGTCTCATGACATTCTGAGAGATATTATTGACTTACTTCATTATGCATTGCATCCATTTATACATGTATACTGACCCATGACCAGATGGCATTATATACGCGTATAATATATGTATATGAGGTATGGGTGAAAGGTTATGGCGTTATATATGCACCACCACCTGATCAGCTGGTATACATTTATGATTTCGCCCACAGAGGCTGAGATGATATGATGGGATGCCCTCAGAGGTTTGATGATGTTATGTACGCATATACCTATGCATGGTATGATATTTATACGCACATGTATGACATTATAAATTTTTCATGATTCTGATCCATGAAGAAATCACGGATAAAAACTCAAAATATATGAAGAATCCTAATCACCGATTGAAGTGAATGCGAAAAATACCGAAATCCTCCTCAAAGCACCAAAATTAGACAAGGCGAGACGGAAACTCCGATAACTGAAAATTAGAGACTGAGTGTAACAACGGACGAAATCGGATAGCTCGACCTATAATTATTCATACAACTAGCTATACATAATGGCTAACTATGTAAAATATCAGCTATACACTAAATTAAGTACATCAACATAAAACATGAACTGAATTGACTTTCCAACAGATGAAACTTGTTACATCTAAGTTTCAATAATGACAATTGTGCAAAACTAAATCATATTTACATTAATTGTAGGAATCAAGACATCAACAGAAGGAAATGAAATTAATCAAAGGAGAAAATGGCAGGACAAAAAGGAAACTGAATCATAGATGATTCAGCAGAAACTCAAGCCAAGAAGACCAAGAAGGATGGAAGGAAGGACGAAAGCAATAGGAAACAACTTGAGTGGGAAACACATCATAGTGGGAGATAATTGGAAGTGCTGCTCCTTTCTTTGATAAAACATGAAGCACTCCTTTGGATTAATTAATCCACCCCACGGAGACAAATTGAAATGTTGTCCATCTCCTCAATTAAGCATGGAGCATTTCGATATGGAAAAAGAGCACTCCTTGGATAAATAAATCTAGCCCATCTCTCTTGAAGAGATGAAAGACACCTTTCTTGAAATACCAATACACAACAATACTTGCCTATAAGAATACTGGCAAGCTCAAGGATTGAAAGCACGCAACTACAAACATTGTCTTCTAAGTCTCTCTAGTTGTCAATACAAATACTGTATTCTTAAGTCTACAAGAGTCATAAAAGATAGAAAGAGTTAAAACACAAAAAAGAGTTGTGTCAATATCCAGAAATTATTGTTGCTAAAAATCGTTGGTGGTCAACAACTCAGGAGGAGCAGTAATGAGTACAACAACTCAGGGGAAGCAGGGCATCTCAAGTGATGAAAGGGAAGTATACTTTATTTACTCTCTCTTTATTGTCATCATCAAAAAGGGGGAGATTGTTATATCTAAGTTTCAATGATGACAATTGTGCAAAACTAAATCATATCTACATTAATTGTAGGAATCAAGACATCAACAGAAGGAAATGGAATTAAATCAAAGGAGACGATGCCAGGACAAAAAGGAAACTGAATCACAGATGATTTAGCAGAAACTCAAGCCAAGAAGACCAAGAAGGATAGAAGGAAGGACGAAAGCAATAGAAAATAACTTGAGTGGGAAACACATTATAGTGGGAGACAATTGGAAGTGCTGCTCCTTTCTTTGATAAAACAGGAAGCACTCCTTTGGATTAATTAATCCACCCCACAGAGATAAATTAAAATGCTGCCCATCTCCTCAATTAAGCATGGAGCATTTTGGTATGGAACAAGAGCACTCCTTGGATAAATAAATCTAGCCCATCTCTCTTGAAGAGATGAAAGACGCCTTTCTCGAAATACCAATACACAACAATACTTGCCTATAAGAATACTAGCAAGCTCAAGGATTGAAAGCACGCAACTACAAACACTGTCTTCTAAGTCTCTATAGTTCTCAATACAAACACTATATTCTTAAGTCTACAAGTGTCATAAAAGATAGAAAGAGTTTAAACACAAAAGAGAGTTGTGTCAACATCCAGAAATTATTGTTGCTAAACATCGTTGGTGGTGAACGAGCTAAAACCATCACTATTGTAATTCTTTATCAAGATCTTAGAGAACCATTGTGACTTAAGGGAAACTGGACGTAAGTATCACACCGGTACCGAACCAGTATAAAAACTGTTGTCTTGTTTTACTTTAAATTTATTGTATTCATATTTATCCTATTTGTGTGCTGTAAGAAAACTAGTCGACTAAACTCAAACTTAGTTGACTAAGTTTTAATAGGAAAAAATCATGGGATCAAACACAGACGTCGGTACATTATTTCAAGAAGGAACCTCTCAGGTACGACCTCCGTATTTCAACAGACAACATTTTTCTCATTGGAAAGTTTGTATGGAAACATACACTATATCATATGACATCAAAGTTTGGCGTGTTATCAAAAAGGAAAATCTTCCAATTCCGCCAAACAAAGATGCAGATGGTCAAGTCATTATATTAACTGATCCACTTGACTTAGATGATTACACTAATGAACAAGCTGCTGCTATAACTATAACTGGCAAAGCAAAAAATCTACTGTATAATGCTATCAGTGGTGAAGAGTATGAAAAGATTTCAAGCTGTGAAACTACCAAGGAAATGTGGGATAAATTGGAGATCACATATGAAGAAACCAACAAGGTGAAAGAAACAAGGATCAATCTTCTAGTTCGTGACTATGAGCTATTTCAAATGAAGGATAAAGAATCAGTGGAAAAACTGTTCACCAGGTTCAGAAAAATCTTTGGAGATCTAAAATCCTTTGGTACACCAATAAAGAGCGGAGAACGGGTCAGAAAAATCCTTAGAAGTTTGTCCACAATTTGACAGCCTAAGGTTATTGCTCTGGAATGTCAGGACCTTGACAAAATATCTTATGATAAACTTAGAGGTGATCTAATTGCCTTTGAGAAAACTCACTTGGACAGGCTAATTCAACAAGAAAAGAAAAAAATTGTAGCCTTTAAAGCAACTATGGTTGAATCGAAAAATGAAGAGGAAGAGGAAGAAGGAGAACAGGATGAAAATATAGCCATGCTTTCCCAAGTTGTAGCAAGCATGATGAGGAAAAACAGATATAACAGAAGAGGGAAATCAAACTTCAGAAAAGGAAGGACAAATAATGAAAATGATAAAAATGATGAAAGATTCTATGAATGTAGAAAACATGGACACATTCAAGATGATTGTCCTGTACTGAAGAAGAAACTCAGCATGAACTTTCAAAAGAAGAAGTATTTTGGAGCCTGGAGTGATGAAGAAAAGTCTGACCATGAGGAAATCGCAAATATGTGTTTCATGGCCATAAAAGAAGATAGCAATGAGGAATAAGGAGATCTTGGGATCATGACAAACGAAGGAGCGGATGAAAAATAAGACTCAGGTGAACTTGGTCTTATGTCAGACGAGGGAACTAGTGAGGTACGTCTTCCTACATGTCCCAACTGTTATGAACTTCAAGAATTTGTTGATATTGCTCTTGCAGATATTGAAAGAGTTTTAAATGAACTCAGAAAAATCCAAAGAGAAAAGAAAGACTGGGCCTTGAAACTGAAAGTTTGTGAAATTAAGCGTGACATGCTTCAAGATGAAGGAAATGAACTTCAACTTCAACTGAATGGATTACAGAAATCCACTAGTCATAGTTCTGTCAAATCAAATCAGACTACTCCTCATAACTCTTTGATTAGAACTAGAAACTCTCATGCATGCTCTTACTATGGTAAAAATAGTCACAACACTAATCAATACAGGAACAGAACCAAAGCAGAAAAAGGCTCTAAAAATACCAATAATCCGTCATGTTTTATTGTGGAAAACATGGTCACACTTCTAACAATTGCAGGTTCAAGGACAACAGGAGATGGGTCTGGCGACCTAAATCCTCTAGTCAAGCTTACACTCAGAAATCTAACCATTCAGGACCCAAGCAGGCTTGGGTACCTAAAAATAAGTAATCTTGTTTTGCAAGAACACCGCAAGAGGAATCGAAAAGGAAAATGGTATCTTGACAGCGCGTGTTCCAGACATATGACTGGTGACAAACAATTGTTCAAAACAGTCACCAAACTAGATGGATGAACAGTTACCTTTGGAGATAAATCAAAAGAAAACGTAATTGGAGGTGGAAAAGTTGCTTTAAGCTCAACATGTGATGTGGATGAAGTATACCTGGTTGATGAACTCGGTTACAATCTTCTCAGTATCAGTCAACTATGTGACAATCACTATGAGGTTCATTTTAAGAAACATGGCTGGTTTATAGAAGACAAATCAAGTAAAGTTATTCTCACAGGTAATAGAGACAGGAATGTCTATACTATCAGTAATATAGATAGTCTTGGTAATCAAATCTGTCTTGCTTCTGTGATTGATGACCCTTGGGTTTGGCATAGAAAGCTTGGACATGCTAGCATGCATACTATTCAAAAACTTTCTAAACATGAGCTTTTCATTTGTCTTCCAAATCTAGATTTTTCAAAAGATCATATTTGTGATGCATGTCAATTAGGAAAACAAACTCGCTCATCTTTCAAAATTAAAAATATTGTTTCTACTACTAAACCACTTCAACTATTGCATATGAATTTGTTTGGTCCAACTAGAACTGCTAGTATAGGTGGTAGAAAATATGCTTTTGTCATTGTGGATGATTTTTCTCGATTTACGTAGGTTATTTTTTCTAAGTCATAAAGATGAAGCCCTAAGAAATTTTGAAATTTTCTGTAAGAAGGTCCAACGTGAAAAAGGATACTACATTTTCACTATCAGAAGTGATCACAGAGGAGAATTTGAAAGCAGAGCCTTTGAAAACTTTTTCAATGACCAAGGAATCTCTCACAACTTCTCTTCACCAATATCCCCTCAACCAAATGGAGTGGTAGAACGTAAAAATAGAACATTACAGGACATGACAAGAACCATAATTATGAAAACTCTCTACCTCACCATTTCTGGGCAGAAGCTGTAAGCGCAACATGTCATATTATCAACAGGTGTTTAATTCGACCCATTCTTAAAAAGACTTCATATGAGCTATGGAATGGCAAGAAACCCAACATCGGTTACTTTCATCTTTTTGGATGCAAATGTTTCATTCAGAATAATGGAAAGGATAATCTGGGTAAGTTTGATCCAAAAAGCGGCGAAGATATATTCCTTGGATATTATCCCTCAAGTAGAGCATATAGAGTTTACAATAAAAGAACCTTATTCATTGAAGAAACAATTCATGTTATTTTTATTGATATTAACCCTTGCTCAAGGAATGAAAAATTTCCTGAAGATGAGGAAATTTCTATTGTTCCAAAGTCTGTTGTTGTAGGAAAAGACTGTCAAAAGGAGTCAACTGGTCAGCAAAATCAGTCAACTGAGGAACATAATGAAATCCAATAATCTTCTTCAACAGAATAGTCGATTACTAAGGGAAAGAGAACCAACCACAAATATTACAAATGAATGGAAAAGTGAACCTGGATATCCTCACAAATTCATTATTGGAAATCCACATGAAGGAATCACTACCAGAAGATCTCAAAAGCTCAACTCTCACATGGTTCTAATTTTTCAAGTTAAGCAAAAGAAAGTGGATGAAGCACTAAAAGACGTTTACTGGATCAAAGCAATGAAAGATGAGCTTGATCAATTTGAAAGAAATAAAATGTGAAAACTGGTTCCAAAACCTTCAAGTACTTCTATTGTAGGAACCAAATGGGTTTATAGAAATAAGCTAAATAAATCCAGACTAGTGGTACGAAATAAAGCACGACTTGTTGCGCAAGGTTATTCTCAGCAAGAAGGAATCGACTATGATGAAACATTCGCACATGTAGCAAGATTGAAATCTATTCGAATATTACTTACCTTCGCTGCTCATAAAGGATTCAAACTATTCCAAATGGATGTAAAAAGTGCATTTCTAAATGGATACATCTCTGGAGAAGTTTACGTAAAGCAACCTCCCGGATTTATAAATGATACTCTCCCAGATCATGTATACAAGTTGATTAAAGCTCTATACGGACTCAAGCAAGCTCCCTGAGCATGGTATGAAAGATTAAGTTCCTTCCTTCTAAATCAAGGTTTCAAACGAGGTAATATCGATACAACTCTATTTATTAAGCACTCAAATTTAGGTAATCTTATTACTCAAATTTATGTTGACGATATTATTTTTGGAAGTCCTAACTCTGTTCTATGTGAAGAATTTGCTCAGTCTATGAAAGGAGAATTCGAAATGAGTATGATGGGAGAGATAACTTACTTTTTTGGACTACAAATCAAACAATATCTCAAAAGGATCTTTATCAGTCAAACCAAGTACATCAAGGAGCTTATAAAGAAGTTTGACATAGAGAATGCTAAGCCCATTGGGACTCCAATGAGTCCAACAACTACGCTTGATGAAGATAATAATGGAAAAAGTATTGATGAAACTATGTATAGAGGAATTATTGAATCCTTATTATATCTCAATGCCAGCCGACCAGATATAATATTCAGTGTGTGTAAATGTGCAAGGTTTCAGTCGGCTCCAAAGGAATCCCATCTTACTGCTGTTAAACGCATTGTAAGATATCTTATTAGGACCTCTGAATTAGGATTATGGTATGCTCACTCTAACAATTTTGTCTTGAAAGGTTTTTCAGATGCAGATTTTGCAGGTGATAAGATCGACCGGAAAAGTACTAGTGGAACGTGCCAATTGTTGGGAAATGCATTAGTTTCCTGACATAGCAAGAAACAAAATTATGTTGCCCTGTCAACAACTGATATTTAGCTGTTGGAAGTTGTTGTACACAAGTTCTTTGGATCATACATCAACTTCTCGACTATGATTTATCTCTTGCCTCTACTCCTATATTTTGTGATAATACTAGTGCTATATGTTTGGCAAAAAATTCTGTGCATCACTCAAGAGCAAAGCATATAGAAATCAAGCATCATTTTATCCGTGATCATGTTGCTAAAGGTGATATTGTATTAGAATTCATTAGTACTGAATCTCAACTTACTGATATTTTTACAAAACTTCTTTTAGAAAAAAAGATTTTGTCTACTACGAAAAAACAATTAGCATTATGTCTGATTTCTACAACAAATCTTTTGTATATGTTTAAACTATTTTATTTTCTTTCTTATGTGTGCTTAATTTTACTTTGATGTAATTATAATTATTACACCTCTATCAGTACCGCCAAAACATCTCCTCAGAAGAGTCACTTCTTTCTGAATCCGTCCTTTTCTTTAACTAATGCAACCCTTCAACCTTCCCAGCGTCTAGATAATAACCCTCTTCTCTCCCTCTCACTCTTCATCCTTCTAAAGAAACCTTCACCACGGTGAAAAGAAACCTCTCATTTTTCACTGCCACCAAAAGAAGTAGAAGGTTTAAGAAAACCCTCAACCCTGAAGAAACTGTAAACTTGGAATCAACCATCGACTCAGATTTCCTCAAGACCGACAATGAAAGCAGTAAATCTTCTAAGGACCTTCCCATCAGCCAGAAAAAGGCAGGAAAGAGGCCCATGGAGAAAACCCCCAAAAAATTTGCATGCAAGAAAGGGAAAGTGGAGAGTATAGAATTTGGGCCAGAGGATAAATTAATCTTCTATGGACCAAGTGAGAAATCAAGGTTTGAGTCCTATAATTCAAAATCTATAGCTTATGGACGCACTGTAAGTCTCTCTCTTATGAAAAATTTGCACTGTGATGTGATTGTTGTTTTTGATTTTAACGACTTTCCTATCTGTTCGATACTATTGGGAGCTCCGTGTATGAAGAGCATGTGAGAATATTCTATGCAAATTTGTTTGTGAATGATAAAGATGACTTGGAGTCCATGGTTCTAGGCACTCGAATTGTTCTTGACGCTTATCAATTTGAGAAGATTTTTTCTACTAAGTTTAACGGGTATGAGGTTTTTGAGCAAAATTACTAGCCAAAAGATTTTGAAGTTTCCCTAGAAGAAGCAAAAACCTTCGTGTCTGATAATCCTCCCGACATTGGTCCAAAAAATCTAAAATTTGAACACCGGGTTTTGTCCCACATGATAGCCACAACTTTACTTCCTAGAACTGGGTCCCTCATCACTATGTCTACCAGAGATATCTTTGTTCTTTACTGTCCAGTGAACAACAAAAGACTCAACTGGTTTGTATGGATTCGTCAATATATGGTTGAGAATATCAGGGATATATCCTCTTCTGCTGCTTCTCTACCATATGGCTTGCTTATCTCACATATTCTTAGAGTAATGAAGGTTGATTTGGCACCCTTCACACCCAAGCATATTACCAGTACCTATGACAAGACAGACTTCTCTATGATGG